TAGTTTTCTCCTTACTAAAAACAAAATATATCCAAATGGTTTTCACTATCATTTTGTCACACACACACCCCAGCATATTTTATGTAACACTTATTCTGTTTATAATTTTGTATGATTTTGTCATTGGCTATATACATAGCCAGGACGAAGACAATAGAGGTCTGGTTTGCTAAATTTACAAATGTCAAAATGCCTGGAAGAGAAGGTAATCCTTTGGATGACAAAATCACAATTCAAGAAGATCTCAACAACTTTCATGAGGTGAAATGTAATAAAGGATAAAGGTAAAATATTGCCTAAAAAGCATAAACTACATACAAGTATATACAGAATGGAGAGATCTGTATAAAGGCAAAGATGTTGTTTTATGCTGACATTATCAGTGGTTTCTACAGAAACTTCTCAAAAATCAAAATGGAGAGCCAAGACAAGCTACCTTTTTACTAGTTAAGAACACTAATTAAATAAAACAAAAACCTACAACCAGTATCAAAAGAAACTTAGCACCTAATAAAAACAATCATGTCATAAAGAAAAGCTGCTTTAATATTGGAAGAACAAAGTAGAGAATCTCAAAAAATAACCCCTTGAATTATATAAGTATTACTTGAGCGGTCATATAATATTTTTTCACTGTTTTCCGCCTAGAAATGAGGCATTAATGTCATTAAACAGCTGACACATTTGTAGACTATAAACAAAAGTGTGTATCTCTTGAAATAAGTGTGTTTCACTTCACTCTGCTTTCAGACCATAATTGCAAAATTAAATATTAGGAAAGGATCAAAACAAAAACAGTAACACTGACAAACCTAACTAAACCCAAATGACAGAGAAGAGAAAATCAAAGGAAACTATACCATATGAAGTTTAAAGTAAGAGGTCACTTAATTTAAAAAAGAGAATATCTAGTGGAAAGCTACTGAGAAAAACCCTACTTATCTCACTCAAGACAGAACAGTAATCATTTGAAAAAGCTAGATAGCGAAGCAGATAGCTCAATTTACATAACTTCTTTCTTTTAAAAACTTGTGAAAGCTAAACAGGCTTTCTTCTACATCCAGGGAGGGAATCATGGAGGAGCTATTCAACAACATCTCAAGAATATTAGCAGTTAGTGGCACATAGTATGGATTAGCTATAAAGTTCAGTCCAATCCTAAAATTTAATAAATCACAGGAATGGAATAAATATTGCCCTTTAAATTGCATAAAATAATTGAGTAGAACAAACTTGGTCAGAGACATGGGTTCTACAACTTAGTAAGTAATATGTGGCACAGATATTCACTAACACTGCTTCAAATTTTTTTCCACTTTAAATGTATAAACACCTTAACTAAGAAAACTACTGCATAAATTACACACACTTACAGGAGGTGGGGAGGACAGCCTGACACTCAGGCAATCCATACATTATAGGCATTCACTCATTCAAACAATTTCATGTCACAAAAGGTAGTATTTCTATGTCATTTATTAATGATATATTAAATAACGCATTTTCTGTTACATCTCACTTGTTTTTCAAATCTAAGCAATATATGATTTGGATTCTCATCCATTTCTTTTTTTTTTTTTTTTTGGTTTTTCTGAGACAGAGTCTCACAATGTAGTTGAGACTGACCTGGAACTCAATGTGTAGCCCAGGCTGGTCTCAAACTCCCAGTGATCCTCCTGCCTCAGCCTCCCAAGTGCTGGGATTACAGGCGTGCACCACCACACCCGGCTAGATTCTCATCCATTTCTATGTAATCACTACTTAGATATAAGTAATGTTTTCTTTAAACTTCCTTTTGTTGGTTTCTTTTTTTGCCTTTTCTGACATAAAACTAGTCTTTGTACATACTGGACATTATTCACTCTGGCTAAAAAAATTTATACTGTTGCACAATCATTTCAACTAAAGTGGACAGTACATCAATTTAATCAACCACAGATGTTTTCTTATTCCTTTTATACCTCAAAATGGCTTACTCACTGCTGAATAGATCCCTCATGAAATATTTAAGTAAATAAAAACCCCTTCACCATGTGTAATTATTGTTAGAAATCTTAATTACTAAAAATGTTTAATGAAAAAAGATTGTCCAAGGGCCAGGGATTTAGCTCAGTGTTTTTGCTGCTGCCTGCCTCAAAAGCCCAAGGTCCGGAGTTCAATCCCTGGTACCAAAAACAAAGAAAGATTGTCCAAGGCTTTTCCTCATTAATAATAAAGCTATTTCTTACTGAAACAGATCAACATTTAATGTAACAATCAATATTATTCAACCAAGCATTTTCAGATGGTATGTGATTGATCTTTTGTTATACTTCCAGAATAATCTGCAACTGTTCAGATACTTTAGTTTGCAATTAAGTACCATGCACTGAGATAATTAAAAGAGCACACTGCTTAATACCACAATGTTTAAGACAGGAAGAAAAGAATCACACACTAATTATAATAATGGAGAATATTTTTCAGGAACAGAATTTTTTAATACATTGATAAGAAGCTTAAACATATATTTGGTACGACAGAGGCACTATTGCATTGCTATCAGATGCAAAAATAAAACCTTTTTTTTTTTACAAGATAACAGGGAACAAGAAACTGCTGCTTGGAACAAACCACTAAGCACAGAAGTTTTTAAAGTATCTTGAGATTTGCATTAATATGAAGAATGATACTAAACTTTACACTGTAAATTCCATTATTCTAATGGTAAAAAAAGAAACATGTAGATTACTTATTTCCTTACAATATTTTAGAAAAGCATGAAACTTACCAGTAAAATTACATTTAATGTTTCATTGAGTCTAATTCTACAAATTCAATCACAGATTTTCTTTTTTTAGTTGAAATTTGAGAAGTAAATTCTGAAGAAAATGCCTGTGATCCCAGCACTTTGGGGGGCAGAGGTAGGGGGAACTCAAGCTCAAGTACATCCTGAGAAAGTTGGAGACTTAAGAAGAACTGTCTATAAAATTAAAAAGCATTAGGGGCTTAGCTCAAGCCAAAGACCTTGAGTTCAATTCCCAGTATGAAAAGGGGGGCGGGGTGAGAAAAAGCTTTAATGTAGGGTAATAAATATTTTATGTAGCAAAATCAACTCACTTAAGAACATAAAGCTACTGTCTCTCAAAAGGTAAGTTGAAAATAATTCACTAATGGAAGAAAAGTTCACTTCATAGGGTTTTATGTGGAAATCTTAGTCGTAATATTTATAGTTGATCACATTACAAAACAACCCACAACTGAATTCCAAATAATAAACTTACTAGTAAGTAGAAAGGAAGGCATTCTTTTTTCCTTACATAGTAAATTAGTTTATAAAACTAGAGTTCAATTTCAGTAGTATCGCTTTTACATCAATGAGACAAAGACTGAGTTAATATAACTGTGAGAATCAAATTCATTGATACAGACAACTCAAAGAGCACCTGCCTTCCATTAGTTTGGCTGGGGCGAACAAGTTAGTTAACTTGCCAAGTTTTGGTCTGCTCTGTCTCTGTTAAGTATACTTTAAGTAAAACACAAAATTCAACAGTCTCTGCACAGGAAGAACTAAAAGCAGGTCTGGTTTTCTTTTTATAAATAATGGCAGAAAAATTTTAAAAAATGGTTTCTAACTTTCTATTTATTAATGCAGTATTTCCAGAACTGAATTTCTAAGCCTTTAAAGATTAAGCAAGTAGAGTTTTATCAATGAAGATCTAGCTAACTGTGTTCATCATGGAACTCCTCTCACATTACTCCTCCACCTGCTCCTCCCTCTCCTGCTTCGTTCTTTCTTCTACTTGTTTTAAGCAGAACTGCAGGAAAGGGGCTCAAAGCACTGTAAGCCTGAAATTCAAACCATATTTAAAGATGCCTTTTCAAAAAATAAAAATAAAAAATAAATAAAAGATGCCTTTTCAACCAGGTGTATATCCTCTGCTTCAACAAATTCCTGACAAACACCTGAATTCTCATTAACAGGTTAAAAACGGTTTCAAAAACATAAAAGGCCTATTTCTTTTATTGTTTAAAAACTAAATAAGAAACATGTATTCCAATCTATTCCCTTAGGAACATGAATGCCTTTCCCACCCAACCGGGGGAAAAAAAAATCTGCTCGTTCATTTCCCTGGTACACAACAGATTCGTTGTCAGTCCTTCCTACCCAGCCGTAATTTCACATTGATCACCTTGGTACACTTGGATTCCATCAGGTATAGGCTCTATCTTTATATTCCTGGGGGGGGGGTAAAACTACTGAAAACCACCAAACAGAGATCGGAGAATTTAAAATGTAAATCCCACAGCTTCCCGCCCTGTGTTAGGTAGCCGCTAATATGTTTTCCCCTCGCACAAATGGAAGGAAAGTACACCAAAACCCTACGTTTTGATCCTAGGACAATGAAGCCGACAGGAAGCCACTCTCTCCTCCCCCGGGTTTACTACGAAGCCCGAGCCGACGCGGGGTGCAGTCGCCAGGCTGGGTGCAAGACACCGCGTCTCCCACGCCCTCCCAACGCGTCCACAGGGCTCGTCCTCTGAGCTCGCCCAAACCGCCATACAATAGGGGCTAGCGCACTGCCGGCTCCCGGGATGGGGGAAGCCCGCACCCCAGAGGCGGCGCGGCCATTCCCTCCGACGCTCCGCCCGCAGGCTTCGCGAACGGCTACGGCGCAGGGGGAAG